AAATATTCTTGTTATTGTTAAGCGCTATGCTACACAAAGAGTTATCCGTAATCTGTACACCGCGGGTATCGAAACGAGAGTTTCGGCGTTATAAGCCCAGTTTTACCACTGAGCCTCCGGGGAGATTTGCTAAAATTAATCTTCCCCATCCTCTCGTAACCGTTTAAGCTTCAGTAATACAACTTTTATTATCTGTATTTTTCTTACGAATCTCATTATCCCTGAATTACATTTACCCAAGAATGAAATTAGGCTAAGAATAATGTTTCAGCGTTTTTGTAAAGAACAGAAAACATGGTAAGGTAAGAGACAGAGTGTTTGATGTATAAAAAAATTGATTTTTATTTTAATTAATGATAATTGACTAAAACTGACACATTCTGGTTTACTTAGACTATATTAAAACTTAATAGAGATGTGATAAATCATATAAGCGTGTTAATCTCTAATAATAACTGAAACGGAAAAGCAAAACTTAATGAAATATAAAACCTGATTTTCTATTGTTTTCAATTAGGGTTAGAAAGAAACTGCTCGAGATAATTATAAAAGAACTTTTTTTATTTTAACCAACGTTTCGCCTTTGTGGCTTCATCAGTGTTAGTACATACCACAAAAGCGAAACGTTGGTTAAAATGAAAATTTCTTTTATAATTATCTGAAGTATAAAGGTCGTTTTTTTTCTAACCTTTTTATCAAAATGTATAAATCCCCCCAGTACGCTCTCAAAATGTTGTGAAGTAGGTGTGGAATATCAAAAATCTGTTGACGCAGGCTGCTTAGACATATTGGAGGTCATTTCTTACATGACATGATGTCATGATATAAAGGTCAAATCAATCTAATTTAAATGCTAAGACTTTTGAATTGACACATTTTACCTAAAGCTGATAGTTTCAGAGATAGTCTTTACAAACAAATAATAATAAGTAAATTTTGATCTTCACAAGAAAAGGCATAAGGCACAAAATGCCACAGAAAGAATCTGGGTATTAAAAACACATTATTCTTCGCGTAACTCAAAAATTCACTCAGCTATTTTTAACTTTACGAAATATTTAGTAAAATAATGCTTATTAAGCTTTAAAAAAGTTTATGATTTTTGTTGAATATGATGATATATATATATATAATCTGAACAGTATGACTGGTCTTGAAACAATTTTTGCAAAATTTACGTTTCACGTTTTGAAAAGCATCATTTATGCAATGAAGTGAAAGAGTTTCAAAAACAAAGTAATAATTCACTTCTATATTAATCTATAAAGAGTAGGTTAAATTAGGTCGTTTTTATTATATAATAGGTTCTCATTTCCAAAGTTTGGTCGAAAAGCTTCAATGGAAATATATATGTATACTAAAACTAGAGAGAGACATAAAGAGGCAGATAGTAATCTGTATCCCACAAATACTTTTACATTTGCACATGCAAATGAGTGTTGTTAGTTTATTATTACTTGCATGAGTTTGATGTTTTAAATTTTTTCTTTCAGAAGTTTCTGTTTTTTAAAACGTTGTCAGAACTCTTCAGTAATGAGCAAACACTAAAATTGATACATATATGTATATATATATATATAATTATGCAACTCAATACGATGTTTTGTGAACATATATATGTATATATATAAACGAGAACGAAACAAACACTTTATCGTGTTAACTAAAGAACAAACAGTCATGAGTTCATTAACTGGGAGATCTATATGATGAAGTTTCCAACTTTTCCCTTTCAACCTGCATGGTTCCATTAACTCCAAGCTTAATGTAGAGATTAATGACATAAACCAGAGTTATTTTTCAGCTGTGTTCATTGATAACGTTCCCTATATAAACGAAATTTTAAGTTACATACAAAAATATATGCTTGATGCAGACCATATATTTTATTTTGTTATTCAACCTACACATTTTAATATATTCATCAGCACAATGATAAGTGAAACTTAACCCGTCCAGTATTAAGATCACAACGTCTGTATACAATCAAATATTAATATTCATAGAATTTGTTTGTTTGTTTTTGAATTTTGCGCAAAGCTACACGAGGGCTATCTACGTTAGCCATCCCTAATTTAGCAGTGTAAGACTAGAGGGAAGGCAGCTTGTCATCACCACCTACCGCCAACTCTTGGGCTACTCTTTTACCAACGAATAGTGGGATTGACCGTCACATTATAATGCCCCCACGGCTGAAAGAGCGTGCATGTTTGGCGGGACGGGGATTCGAACCCGCGACCCTCAGATTGCGAGTCGAGCACCCTAACCTCCTTCATATAATTAAACATAATAGAAGCTTAGTAAGTTAATACTTATTATTTATTCGCAAAACCTAAGTTCTGACTATATAAATGTTTTATATGTACAGAATATACCAAGTATTGATATCAGTTTTTCATTATTTTAAAAACCCATGAGTAAAAGAAACGAATAATATTTTATAATTTGCCAAACACACTACATCTACCATATCCAGTGCCTTCGAGGCTTTTTGCTCTATACCAGGGATTACCAGTCAGATTGGGATATGACAGACACAATAGTGGTCTAAGGGCTTTACGATTAATCTACAACAACTGTTATGGAGCAGATTAAACAAGTGAATTGTAACTATTATGAATTTTATTTGTCATTTACAAATAAGGTTATTAATTAATAACGCAACGTTATTAATTTTGTTTTATTTTGACACTATTTATTCATTTCTTAATTAGTCTTTTTATTAATTTTGTTTTATTTGCAGTTTAACTTTACTATCCTTTAGAAAAACTGGCGAACCAACAAGCTAGTCTTCTTGTTGTCGGAGCTGGTCCAACAACCACAGCGTGAACGGGCGAACAAAGCATTAGTATTTCTAAGAACCCATGAGTGAAAACAAAAGAGAATATGTTATAATATGTAAACAACACTACCTCTATCATATCCAGTACCGACAAGGCTTTTCGTCCAATACCAGGGCTCATAAAAGCGGTGGAGATTCAACAAATATAGTAGTGATCTAGTCACTATATATATATATATATATATACATCATAAATTTTTTTATTAGAATAACTGTTAGGATTTAAATCAGATTAAGCATGAGAATTGTAATTGAGCTCAATAAAGTATTCTCTCTTTTCACGTACTTTAGCTAAACAAAAATATCCACTTCGTTTAATACGTTGTATAGTTTACTACCACTATAGGAAGTTTCGACAACAACCATTGGAACCACATAGCCTAAATGTTATTCATTTGATACATAAAACATAGAATTTATTATTATGTTTTCTTGAAAGTGTTCGATCAGAAAAGGATTAATTAATAAAAATAGATCAAAAGACTCATTTTTCTTTCAGTCTTCTTGTATTTTATGCCTCTGCATTTCGTACGATTTTCACAAAGTTGCTTGAGAATTTGTGATGATGGGTTCATTTAAACTAAATTTACTGACGAGCCAATTAAACTGTCTCAAATATAAATTTATTCTTCGAGCATCATCGAGTAACAACATTCATTATTAATTTGGTCATTGCACATGTGGTACAGCAAAGTAGTTCTTATATTTGTAGAAGTAAAACAGAGAGACCCATCCGTTTAACATTGAAACTATATCATTCACTATATGCAGCAGTAAAACAGAGAGACCCATCCGTTTAACATTGAAACTATATCATTCACTATATGCAGCAGTAAAACAGAGAGACCCATCCGTTTAACATTGAAACTATATCATTCACTATATGCAGCAGTAAAACAGTGAGACCCATCCGTTTAACATTGAAACTATATCATTCACTATATGCAGCAGTAAAACAGAGAGACCCATCCGTTTAACATTGAAACTATATCATTCACTACATGCAGCAGTAAAACAGAGAGACCCATCCGTTTAACATTGAAACTATATCATTCACTATATGCAACAAGTTGTGGGAAGATATTTTACGCCGGTAAAATAATCTGCAATAACGAAAGAGTTATTACGAATACAATATTGAGGTGACGCTGTTTCACTATTTAATTCTGTTAGATGACGAATTGAGTTAATTATATATAGTTGAAATATTAGTAAAGTCACTACATTAGTAACTAGTGGAATGTAATATTGTAAGTGTAATTTATTTATCTAATCATTGATATAAATGTATAGTGTATGTTAAAGGTGAAATCCCATCACCAACAATCAGACTGTTATTTAAGAAGCTTCATTAAATTTGTCTTTACTCCGGTGGTCTATGGATTAGCATCGAACATATGTATATATATAAGACAAGAGTGTAAATACAAGCATACATTAAGGCTAATCTATAACACAAGAATAGGAAAGACAAAAATAAATTAAATAACGTGTTTTATTTAGCTTCGTTTTTTCAACCAAGATATTTTTATTGTAATCACTGTCACTTGGAACAATTCAACCACATAAACAAAGGATCTTCTACATAAGAACTATACATAATTCGACAGCAACGTCTACTATACAGTTTTTAGTTGTGTATTGATTACTGATAGGAAGCCCTGGTTGTTTAACCAAAATATATTAAACATCAACAAGTCTTTAGAAACGTCATTTCAAATAGTCTTGCAATAAGAACCGTTATTTTTGAATTGGATATTTGAATAATTCTTTATTAAGCTATCTTAAGATCTTCAAATGCTCATACGGCATAATCATGAAACTGAAGAGACATTTTAACACTAAAATATGTAAAGAGGATTTAGCACGAGAACATTGTCACTATAAATAGCCCAAAAACGTTAAATTAAACATTTATTCAATTCCATACAGCCCTAAACAGAAATACTCTCCCCATAAATGAAATGTTAATGGTGTTTTACTTCCTGATAAACTCATTGTATTTTTTGTTTTCATTTTCTTGAAATGGCAAGTTTAAATATGTACACCGACATGTTCATTAAAATCTTAGTTTGAAAGGAAGAGTATAAAATGTATTTGTTTGTTTGAAGTTAAGCACAAAGCTACACAATGGGCCATCTGTGCTTTGCCAACCACGGGTATCGAAATCCGGTTTCTAGCGTTGTAAGTCCGCAGATATACCGCTGTGCCACTGGGGGGGGGGGGCTATAGAATGTAACTGGGATACTTAGGTACACGCTTTTCACAAGTCGGGCTCAATAACCTACTCGTTGTTGAAACAAACGAATGAATGAGCTTAAGGCTCACGTATTGCAGAGAGTAACCTTGCCATGCTACATTTTCTGCAGTGACTTTTGTAACACTAACATATTAACAATCAAACAAACTTTTAGCAAAATAATCGTGTTTTTTTCTCTATGTGTGTTGTTCACTACAGAAATATCTACGAAAATCACAGTACAAAAAACAACAACAAGAAATAACAATTTAGAAAGAGAAATATATTGAGAGTGAACCGTAATGACATGCTTAAGGACGAAAGCTTACAGTACTTGTATTTAGTTGTATGCACTGTGGGTATAAAATGAAAAATATAAAATGTTCAACTTTTTCAGGAGCGTTCATCAACTGGTTGTTGTGGTTAATTTTGGTGTCAAATGCTGAGCTCCGTGTGCCACATGCTTTGCAAACAAATTCTACTTACATGTTTTGAGGAGCTCAAGCACTAAAGATTTTTCAGATTACGGTTCTAAGGAAGAGTCGAGATTTTAGGCTTGTTAAAATACATAGAATATAGCTCTAAGGGTCCTTTAGCTGCCGACGTGGCCATAGTTGACACTGATGGCTGACCAAAATCGTGTTCGCTTATCCTCGATGTTCCACCTGTAACCGTTGTCGAAGAGTCAGTATTTCCGTCCGAAGGCTTCAGGAAAGGGTTAATCAGCAGAGAATTGGTAGCTGCTTTAGCATTGTGAAATATGTTCATTTCTGTGGGAGCAGAATAATCGTATGTAGGCGCACCGCAGGCGCACGGAGTGAAGTACCCCGACACGGGCATGCCAGTGTATAGTGTCGGAGCCGCCGAAGATCGGTATCCACTACAGTAATGAGATGGTGCCACAGTACTGTTGGGATTTATCAGCTTGTAGGATGGATTGGAGTCTAAATCAGGATGTTGGGTCTCAGACTGAGCGTGTTTGTTTTGAACACTGTTGACTAACAGAGATAATTGTTCATGAATATAAGAAGGGTTCATATGTGTTTCTCTTAGAAAAGCTCTTGGACTAACCGTTGCATGAGAGAGAAAAGGGATAATACTCCGAACATGAGGTGGAAGTGACGAACATGGAGCCAAGAGATCTCTAGAGCAACTGCTATCGAGATAATTAACTGAAGCCGGAATGTATGGGAGTGGGAAGATGAAGTGGTCTTTTTGCAACAGACCTTTAGGTTTTCTTCGAGGTTTATACTTATAACCAGGATGTTCCCGCATGTGAATCGTACGTAATCGTTTAGCTTCTTCAATGAATGGTCGTTTCTCAGCCTCAGATAGATTCTTCCACTGAGTCCCTAGCCGCTTGCTGATCTCAGAATTGTGCATTTTGGGGTTTATCAATGCAATTTTCCGACGTTGGTCTCGAGACCACACCATAAATGCGTTCATAGGTCTCTTGACATGCTCGTTGCCTTCAGAATACAATCTGACGTTGGACAAGTTCATACTGTTAGAGAATAAGTGAATCGAAATGATTCAGTAAAAAAAAATGTACAAAATGAAATATACAGTAATATTGGCACACACACTTTTCCAGTAAACACTTGGAATTTCTGGTATCAAATGCTCTTTCCCTCTTTAACTCCAGATAGGTCTGTTACTTGGCAAACGTTTTTGTGGCATCAAGAGCTTGAGGCGAACGAAACTATTACTCTCGTGTGTACCACACTCTGCCTCGTGTTCCGTGAAATAATCGACCAACTCAACCTTGTTTCCCCCACTTGTGATGGATAGTGATTGATTTCTCAGGAACAGCTTCGACTCAACGCCATTTCATTTACCTTTGTCACGTGCAGCGTGGCGTTAGGCGTATTCAAGCGAAAAAGACTGTGAATGTAGAACCAATCAGCAAACACATTGCATTTTAAACGTTGTCTGTCATATGGAGTCGATTTCAGTTGGACCTGAAGTTAATGTTGTGGACTGAAACACAGGCATCATGACGCAGGTGCAGACGTGACACGTCTTTATTGCCCTTTTCCTTTAAAGAACGGAAAACAATATCAAAGAAATCAAGCTAGAAGCTTAACTATGATATCTAAGAGAAATTGATACTACTAGAACAATCTAACTTTTAGCGCTACATTTATTAGATGTAAATAAACTTATTCTCCATATATTATCCGCTAGCTAAACGTCCACATATGATAAGGCCTTGCTATAGTATGTTTTTATAACTATGACTCTCGAAAACAGTACTTAGTAATGTCAAAACTAAACCGAGAAAACATTTAGGCTTTCGTCATTACGATCTCTTTATAAGTTGTATAAGTAATTAAAAGTGTTCTAAAGCGTTGTTTTGTAATAAAGGTGTTAGCACATATATGATAAAAACGAAGGTATCTTTAATTTAAAGTTCCAAAATGAATAAGTGATACATGGCAATATATTCATATTTAACTTACAAAGCTTATCATAAACACTGTTTATATTACGTGACACTCCTCCCCCGTTCCTCCTTCCAACCCCACAAACTAGCGCTAATTCAAACTTTAACTTCATTGGCAACAGCAGTTGGATGTAAGATTTTGATGCAATATTTGCATTGTTGATATCAAGCCAACATTACCATTGTTGATATCAAGCAAACAATACCACGCTTCTCTACTGAGTCCGTTCACTATGTGTTGCGGATATATGATGCATTAAGCACATTGCTGATATCGAGTCAACAATACCACTCTTCCCTACTGAGTCCGTTCACTATGTGTTGCGGATATATGATGCATTAAGCACACTGCTGATATCGAGTCAACAATACCACTCTTCCCTACTGAGTCCGTTCACTATGTGTTGCGGATATATGATGCATTAAGCACATTGCTGATATCGAGTCAACAATACCACTCTTCCCTACTGAGTTTCTTCACTATGTGCGGCAAAATATCTTCATGATAGTAAAAAAACTCATAGGAACAAAAAGTTTGGTAAATTACATTAAAAAACTGACAAAACCCTAATGCTATTAACCAATAGGGCTGTTTTTTTTTAAACCACTTTAAGCTCATTTCACAACAGACAGATTCATAGAAATGGACCATATGACGAAATCTTAAAGTTTCTTTTTGTTTGATTTTTCACGCAAGTAAGTTAGAAATTTGAGCTTTTTCACCCCTGAAGAATATAGGTTATCCTGTCGAAAGCGCTAGGTTTTTTATTGTTTTTAATGTAATTACAAAATATCGTTATTCTTCTCGTTGGTTCCTATCACGTATTTTAAATTTATAAATATTTCTGACACCGAATCATTTAGTGATCGCCAGTCTCACACTATCATAAGTTTCTAACAAACATGTTCAATACGAGGCTTCGTCCACATTAACGAAAAATAGCGCTATTTTCCGTCAATACTTTTTAACATGATATATTTCGTTGACATTAATCTGAAAATATCGTTATATCTTTCCGACTCTCTTAAACCTTCACATGATCCGAACAAAATCCCCAGTTATTACCATACTGACTTTACTATTGACGGGCCGAGTATGGTCTGGAGGTATGCCTGCCCGGGATATGAATCTGAGGATTCATGTTTCGTGTTCCCCTGAGACAAGTACTCATTCTGCACATTTTAGTCATGAATCTAGTATATATAAGTAGCCCAAGAGTTAGCGATGGGTGCTGTTCGTCTATTTGTTTTGTGCAATTTGTGCCGAAATGCTAAATATCAACATTATCACCAGTGACAGAGAAAACGAGACACAAATGCAAAGTAATAAAGAAAAATAATAAACAGCGGTGATTTAGTAGCAGAGATAATAATATATATTCGTGGAAATATCATAAAATACAAAAAGTACATATGAGTGATGATGTAACATTGTCAAATCATAAAAAAATGCATAGTAACATAGAATACATAGAAAAAAACCGTGATGAAGAAGAGACCAAGGAAACAATAGATCTACATGGTAATAAATAGTAACAGAATATAATACAAATACATGGTTATAGCAAAAATCCCAAATTGCGGTAAACGTTAGAGAAAGAGAGCAAAGGTAAATATAGAAAATGTCATACACTCGATCGGACATCGACAGGGAAACGGTAAACATATGCGATGGTGGTAGTGAAAGAGAAAACAGTAAAACACGCATTTATGATTCTACAACGATAGAGTTAGTATCAGCATTGTTTTCGTGTTGGTGTTACTCTAAACTTAGGCAGATGTTTCTACTATGACAAGACTTCATTATATCTCCGACAGAGGAACGTTCATCATGCCATCTGTGAATACTCTAAAACAAAATTTGTTTTTCCAAGAACAGGAGAAATAGATTAAATTTTAACTCATCAATGAATATTATTAAAGCATATTGCTTTGAAATAATGATACTTACTTGACCATAACCTCAAAATTATTCAAAAAATAAAGTAGTTTTCTTTTTAAACGGATTTGATAATTTATTGTTTCTGTTTGACCAAAGTTCCATTGAAAAGGCTACAAATTCCCTGATTTTCTTTAAGGATTTAAATATTATAATTTTCCTTGTTTAAACGCCTTCTTATCTGAGTAACATCTTATTGCATTTCGAAAGTAAAAATACGATTTAAATGATTCATCTTACTTCAGGGAATATTGATGTTTTCTGTTTATTAATGCAGTATTTGATTTGATCTTATTGATTTAAAATAAGTCATCTTGTTATAAAGAACCTTTATAATATATCGATACTAAGTACGTAACTATAACTACAAGGTTTCTATCACTGTCTTTATTGTATTATAAACAAATTGTATTCATGTCAACTTTATGAACAACGACTGTCATGGTGTAAATTACATCATGTGATTTATAATTATTATCAAATCTATTTAAGTCATTTACTAATCAAAATTTTAAAGTAAATATTAACAAAGCAATATTATTCGTTTAGTTTATATTTAACATCAATTACTTATATGTTATTTTTGTTTGAATTAACTTTGCTAACATTCAAAAGAACTGGCGAATCAACAAATTAGTCTTCTTGTTCCCGGACCAACCACAGCTTCAATGGAGAAAACTACGAACAAAATCTTTTCTGATGGTGTAATAATAACAATATTTAGGTAAATACTTTAATAAACGCTACTAGCTTATATTTAGATTTTTAACTTCGTAAACTCTTTCGACAAAAGTTAGATTTATGAGTCTTTTTCTGATTGACTTTTGAAATGATGTTAGTACCGAAAGTTCATGTTCGATAGTACTTAGCTGATTTACGTGTCATAATTCGTTACAATTCTTGCCGTTTAAATGTCATTCTCGTAGGCGCAAATCCGCCACTTTGTAAGTTATTATTGTAGCATGTGTTTAAAGCCCACACAACTTCAAGTCTGTTTCAATATTCCTGTGTTTTGTCAAAAATCAAAATCGATATTAATACTATTGTAGTTTAGATATTTTGGTTTCGTTTTTAAACCTTGCTTGTGTTTGTTTGTTTGTTTTTTAATTATGCACAAAGCTACACAAGGGCTATCTGTGCTCTGCCCACCACGAGTATCGAAAGCCGGTTTCTAGCGTTGTAAGTCCGCAGACATACCGCTGTGCCACTGGGGGGCCCTTGCTAGTGACGAAGCAGTTTGTTGTTTCTAGAAAACAAACTTAAATTAACAAAAAACGTGGCTGTGTTTGTATACGTCTATACAAGTTATATCGTTTTGCAGTTTGTTGATCGTCTAGTTTCACTTAAAGCAGTCCACAAACTATAAACACAGCTGTACGTGATTGGCGATCAAATATAACTGGATGTTTTCAAGAAAACATTTTAACTTGTTGATAAATGATAGATAATGTTGCAGTTACGGAATTAATAACGTAGGAAAAAACCTTAGGACGAGAAGTAATATAGCTGCTCTTTTTATAGCTACAGCTTAAAGCCATGTCGGAAAAAATGATCCAAATAACCGATTTCATTTTAGTCATATTTGATCTATAAAAGCCCCTGCCCTCGATGACTTAGCGGTAAATCCAAGGGTTTATAACGCTAAAAATTAGATTTAGATACCCACGGTAAGCAGGACACAGATACTTCGTTGTGTAGCTTTTTGCCTAACTACAAACAACAATCACACAAATAATAAAATGAAGGTGAATATTAAATATACTAAATACATACGCAGCAGCTTATACATTCTGTTTCGTTATAATCACTAGAAAATTAATATATTCATTGATAATTGACAGAAACATCTGTAATAACTTGTACTAACGGCCTATAATTATTTCACTCTAGGGGGCTGCTTCAATGAATACAGATTCCACAATATAAAGCATAACCGAGAGAATTAAGCTTGAATCATAAAGCGACCTTATGAAATTTATAATCAGTGAGAGACAGAAAAATCGTCGTTCAGGCAGTTCTTTTTTAAGATTTTGAGACGGCCCATTAACGTAGACTGTACCACTGTACAGTTAAAGTGTTCAACTGTCTTATAATTTCGAAGCAAGAATTGTCGTTTTATTCTTGAGTATATATAACTGGGTTAGAGGGTTTTTATTCATTTCTATCAAGACTTCTTGAACCTATGTGTTTTTCTAACATTATAACTGTGTTCATACATACGTAAACTCATCCCATCTCTTTAGTTTTGGGGAAATTTTCCACGTCTTATTAATTTTTAAACATAAAATTCATGAATTAAAAATAGTTCCTGTAATAATATGCTACAGAAATGTAACTTATATTTACGTTTATTATGTATTAAGTAAATAATTTTTCCATTGTTGTTGTTACTAAGACCCA